AGGAAGGAAGGAAGGAAGGAAGGAAGGAAGGAAGGAAGGAAGGAAGGGTGGGTGGGTGTTGGATAAACCCAGATTCAAAGTTCTAACTGCCAGCTCCCCCATAATCATGTGATGCATTTGGGGTGCTTGGCAACCAGCCAACATTTATCATCATTTTGCAGCCTCTCATGGTCAGATGACTCGAATAACTTTTTTTTTTTGCTGAAAACCAGCTTTGTTGCAATTTCCAGCAAAAAACACCAACTGAGGACAATGGATTAGCTTTTCATCTGCCGCCAACAAGATCATAAAAACAGGTGAAGTCACATGATGACATACTTAACAACCAGAATGACTTGCAACCAAAATATTGGGCTCAATCTTTTCATAGACTATATTGCTTTGAAATTCTATCCAGGTTGAAAAGAAGGAGGAAAAAATTGTCTCAGAAGTTTTTAAAAAACTTGCATAATTTTCAGAATTCTACCCCAATTGAATAAATGTTATGAGGTATCATACCTGTATATTTTAAAAAGTTAAGGACTACTGAAGAACCCAACGGACAAATCATTGATAGGGCTGGAACATTGCCATGTCCAAACTCAGTCAAAAAGAAAGAAAGAAATGCTTTCACTTGATGCCTGATGTTTATGAATAATGACCCTGTAAAGAGTACAGGTAAGTAACACAGGTGTGCTCCTGTATATTAAACCAAGTGTGTCCAACTCATGGCCCTGGATAGTTAGGAATGCGGCTTTACGAGATCATAAACTTTTGAAAGGTTAGTGTGATAAAACAAACAATGTTGACAGGGCTACCATTCAGCATTTTTAAGCCTTAGAATTTTGCTTGTATTTTATATCAGCTTACACCTCTAAACACCAGGAGGAAATGAATAGATGTTCTTTCTGTTTATAGTTACCCAAATACATTGGGAAAATGTAATTCCTGCACTGTACTCGGAATAGAAAAAAAAATGCAACCCGTTAACTAGCTTGTCCACCAATGAGACACTCAGGAATTACTGGCAGAAATTATCAAAAAGGCTACCCTATATTTTCAAGAACTTTAGCAAATCTTTTGGCACTAATAATCATTAATCCAACTTGTCAGATCTCTTTTTCCTCTGGTCTTTCGCAGTCCAATAAATTGTGTTTACTTCCTTATTAGCAAAACCCTTGAATTGAAGGTTCCTTGTAAAATAATTATGCAATTACAATGGAGAACAAAGTAAAAGTTTCAATAATCTTTTGTAAAGAAAGATTCTAACTTAAAAAGGTCAACACTTCACCAGGCAGCAGGCATAGCTACAGGACGTACCTATAGTTTGAACAACTGAGTTTTGGAGATTCTTCATAAAGTGAGCATAAGGACAGAGTTTGCAGGATTTAGATTGTATCTGGTTGGAAGAATTGGGAAATTAGGATTTTCAGAATAATCTTGGGGTATTTATTGACTGAATTCTTGCAAAATTATGGCTTGTTTTAACCACAGTTCACTGAATAAATTTTAACAGTTAACATACGATGTACTTGTCTTTAGTTCATGCTAAAACAGTGATTTGCAATCAATGTCTAGGTTGATATGGTATATTCAAGTAAATTAACTGGCTTTATACAAATGGTACACAATTAGGCATTCTCACAGCTTAACCTACCTGCTAATATTGTTGAACAGAGAAAACAATACAAAGGGATTAAGCACAAATACCAGTCAGAACTGCTTGGAAAAGGGTTGGGAGATGAATGTTAAGAAATGAAGTAAGTTCTCTAGTGAGGAAGAAGAGAAAATATTCTCTCTCTAACGTTAGCCCTGAAGGAGGGGAAAAACAATTTTATGTACAATATGGGTTATCCTAGACATGGAGGAATGGAATGAAGAAATGCAGAAAACAATATTCCTGCAATCAGGCCCCTTTTCAAAACAACAGTGCTGGAAAGGATTAGGGGTGACTTTATAGCACTGTTCCGTTATTTGAAGGGCTGTCACAGAAAAGAGAGGGACAACCTATTCTCTAAAGCACCTGAAGGCAGAACAAGGAACAACGGATAGAAACTAATCAAGGAGAGAAGCAACCTAGAATTGAGGAGAAACTTCTGAACAGTGAGGACAATTAACAGTGGAACAGCTTCCTTCCAGAATTTGTGGGTGCTCCAACACTGGAGGTTTTTAAGAAGAGACTGGACAACTGTTTGTCTGAAATGGGACAGGGTTTCCTGTTTGAGCAGGGGGTTGGACTAGAAGACCTCCAAGGTCTCATCTAACTCTGTTATTCTATCCCGAAAGAAAGTCTTAAGGTTACTTACCCCTCACAGGATCAGTATCAATTTAAGATTTCTTGGCTGGCACCACCGGCAACATTTGTTCAGATCACGGCATCTTTGCAGTTCCCTGTTTTCTTGGAAAACTTGGCATAAGATCCTTGGGAAAACGAGAGAAATAGGAGAGAAAAGATCCGTAATGTATCTTTGGAAGAGTGCTGGAAGAAATGCCAGTATCTGAAGTGCAGCTGCCAACTCACCCAAAGTCCCAGAAATTCAATCTTTGTCCTGCAGGGTGCGCACATCATTTGCAGTTTACAGACAGGTGTGTGCAAGGGGAGGGGGAGGAGGGAATTAACCTACCTTGCTGCAACCAATCCTAGGCAGCCAACCTGAGATCAAATGAAGTAGATTCTTCTGATCATATGTTACTCTGCCTTGGGCTGTTTTTGCTTGTGTTTCTTCTTCTATAGAAGGGATTCTTTTGGGATTTTACCTATTTCAAGTCACTTTGGATTTTTTTGCTACACCGCTGTACTATTGCAGTTAGAAAAGAGAGCATTATTATTGTTGTTAACAGGTTCTGCCACCTGTTACTTTCAGCCTTTCACTTAAGTTTGTACGTAAGGAGAGGCAAATAGACCAATAAGACTAACTGGAAAGCTTTAGTCTTCATTGTCTTAAGTCCAAAGGATTTTAATTTTTTTTTTAAAGGCAGAATGATGAGAAAAGCAATAAATAAATCAAATAGCCAAATGTTTGTTTTCTTTTCTTTTCCACATTCATGCAGAACGTATCACTGAAAGTACTTTTTGTATTACTCACGGCATTTCAATTGTCTGTTTTGTCACAGGAAGCTGACAATGTGCATATTATTGGTAATTAAGTTCCTAGGAAAAGTAGATGCTGACTGTATTTCTTCAGTTCAGAACAGAAAAATCTTTCCATTCAATGAACGTGTGATTTTCATTATGATAAAACCTGATAATAAATCAGTAAATCTCTAAAATGCCCTAATCCTGTCACCACAGTCTGCGGTTACAGATTATGATGACCTCCTCTCACATCCCAATAAACCATACTTTGCTAAACCCTAGTTTATTGAGGTTACAACAAACAACCCACATTTTGTTTAGTGCAATGGATGGCACAAGCCTGGGTTAAACCTGGAGAAGACATAGCCATATAAGAACTTCCATTTTTCTAGGTGCACATTCAAAAGGATGACAGCTTGGGGAGGTTCCATCTGAGAATCCAGACAATCTTGGTTAGCTTATCTGATATAAAGGATACTGGAAACCATAGTTCCAGAGTTTGCAAGGTCAATGGCTGGTAAACTCTGTCTTAATGGCAGATCAGGCTTCCTCAGTTCCTTCCTAGAAGCACAACATAGCTATGGCATGCAGTCGTCTTAGGACAATTGAAGCCAGAATTTCCATTATTAAGTGAGTCACATCCAATTTTATGACCTTTTTTGCCATGGTTGTTAAGCAAATCACTGCAATTTTTAAGTGAATTATGCGATTGCTAAGCATGTCGGAAGTAAGCATAGTACATAAAATTATCTATTGCAATGTCCTACCTGTCAATGAATACGTCAGCTGCAACTACAACAATACAAGAGCACACAATAGATACGAACTCAAGGTAAACCGCACCAGACTCGATTGCAGGAAATACAACTTCAGCAACAGAGTGATCAATGTTTGGAATACTCTACCTGACTCTGTGGTTTCTTCCCCAAACCCCAAAAACTTTAACCTTAAGACTGTCTACTATTGACCTCACCCCTTTCCTAAGAGGTCTGTAGGGGGCATGCATAAGCGCACCAACGTGCCTACCGTCCCTGTCCTACTGTTTTTTTTCTTATCCATTTCAATGTATTCATAACCATGTTTATATTTATACCTGTTATCTAGTACTTGCTTGACAAATAAATAAAAATAAATAGTTCACGAATGGTGATCACGTGACTCTCTGATGCTACAATCAACGTAAATACGTGTCATATACCAATCGTCTGAATTTTGATCACACAACTATGGGGATACTGCAACAGTTGTAAGGGTGAGCCCATTCATATGTCATTTTTTTTCAGTGCTGTTGTAACTTTGAACGGCCGCTAAGCAAATGGTTGTAAGTTGAGGATCACCTGTGTAGTATATTATTTGTTCAAAACCTTTTTTTAAAACCAGAAGGAGAAACTCTGGCTTAGAATTCTCAGCTACTGACTTACTTTTAGTTCAAGCAATCCTCTTCTTTCTTTTAAAACTTTTCAAAGATCCAAAGACTGGCCAATTGATAAGGCAAGCCAAACACTGGCCAATTGATAAGGCCAGCTAATGCATACCAAGGATCAGAATGCTCTGAACCAAACTGTTGTCAAAATATTCAAAGCTAATGTTTATCTTTAGCAAACATACAACAGTTGCGATGAATGGAAAGTGGAAAACGCAACTGTACAAGTATTGTTTTTCAAAGAATGAAAGCCTGGAGAATGCAAATGTGGATGGGAAAAAAATGTAACACTTCCTGCTTATTAAAACACCTGGATAGCAACAACACGATTGAAATTATTTTTTAAAACCCTGGGAAATATTTTGTTGAACACAAATGGAAAAGATGCAGTTGATCGTTTTCATTATCCTATAAAGGCCTTCCTTTACCAGTGAAATTTATCCTATAAAAGCCTTCCTTTAGTAATGATGATCAAAAGGGAATAAAACCAATTTCACAAAAAGGCATTCATTCAATAGAGGAAAGGGAACATTACATGTTAATCAACTGCAAATCGAATTTGCAGATGAAAAAGGCATTCATTTCAGGAGGAAAGGGAATAATATCAAATTCAGATAAGAGATGGCCTTCATCAGATTAAAAAAAAAATCAAATGTAGAGATAAGATTTCCATTCATCATGAAGTAAAGCTGAACTTACAGAAAAAGTTCCCCCTTCCTTCATCTAACAATCAAGAAAAATAAAACTGAAAAAAAAAGACATTAAACTGAAGAGGAAAAAAATAAGTTCAAAGAAGACAAAGGCATGCCTTGACTTAAAACTTCTCCAATTTACTGAAGGAAAAAAAGGCTATTAACCAGATCACTGAAGGAAAAGAAGTCGAATTTTTTTACCAGATCCCATTTCTCAAATAGTGAAGCGAAATAAAACGGGCCAGAAAAGAAAAGCAAAAGAAATAAATAATTCCCCACGCTGAGGTAGGTGACGAATAAATTTAACAAATAAAATACATAAAACTAAAATAAAATAAAAACCGGATTTACTGAAAAAGGAGGCTTTTATTTCACGAAGAAATGGACTATATAATCTATGAATGAGAAAGGTGGTTTTTTTTTTTAAAAAAAGCAGTTTATATGAATGCCATTTATCACGGAATAACGTCGCGTGTCCAGAAAGAGGACCTATTTATTCAGGGGGACGCGAAATAAAAAGAATTTCCAGACGAAAAGGGGGAAGGAAGGGGCCCAACCAGGATCCCCGGCCTGGCCCGAGGCCCGAACCCCGAAACGGACCCGCCCCGTCCCGCCCAAAAGGCCTCCCCGGCCCGGAAGCGCGGCTAAGGCGGGGCGGGCCAGGCCGGGCCAGGCCTGCAGGAAAGGGCGGCGGGGTGCGGCGGGAGCCGGCTGGCGGAGGCCATGAGCGGGCGGCGGGGCTCGGAAAACCCGGCCGAGGGCAGCAGCGACGGTGGGTCGGGGCTGCCGGGAGGGGGCTGGGGGGGGACGGACACTTTTCTCCTTTGGGTCGAGGGGAGGTGGTCGTAGGCATCGCACCGCCTGTCCTGGCTCTTCCCGATGGGTCTCCCATCCCCAGTCCAGACTCCTGGTGGTCTCCCATCCCCAATTCAGGTTCACAGTGGTCTCCCATCCTCCATCCAGATTCCTGTTGGCCTCCCATCCCCCAACTCAAGTTCCTGATGGTCTCCCATCCCCAGCCTAAGTTCCAAGGGGTCTTCCATCCCCAACCCAGGTTCCCAAAGGTTTCCTATCCCCAATTCAGCTTGCAGGTGGTCTCCCATTCCCAATCAAGGTTCCCAGGGGTCTCCC